ATTGACCATGATGGGTGCATTTACACCTTAGTAATTGGCAATCAACTCTAATCAGAAGCACCTTGACCCCCGAAGTGGTCATTGTTCCACAACTCTGACCCCAACTCTCTTCACCCCTGTTTATGATCCTGATTATTTCTGGAGATGCAGTGGAGTCCAGACAGAGATTTTTCTCCCTCGGGATAAATAAGGAAAGAGGTTCAGAGAGAAGCAGACAGAACCAATTGAATGACACATACAGAATGGCACAGTCACCCTGACTTCCCTGGTTTTGGTCATTGAGATTTTATTATAGATTTATGGGAAGGGATTCAAGAGGGAGACATACACACTATTTGAATTAGATATGGATGTTATCAACATGGCAGAAAAACAGATACATGATAGAAATCAGGACTCTAAAAGGTAGGTAGATATGGCTGGGCCACATGGCTGCTCCGAAGGACTGCACATGCAGTATTTCTTAATGACTGCAACACTTAGACATTCCCAAGAATATTTTCACCTGCCCATTGCACAGATAAAGGAACAGTGACCTGGAAAACACAAGCAATTTGGCAAAGGTCACCCAGCTGGTGAGTGGTAGAACCAACTCCAGGGCCTGGCCACTTGCTTCTGGGGTGAGGCTGAATCTGCCCCTTGACTACCAGATGCTTAATGTGAGAGTTCAAGCTAATGGCTCTACCTCTGCTCTAACCAAAATGTTCCTGCTGCTCAGAGCTGGGCCGACTTCACAGAGGTCATGAGATCACCCCAGAGGTCAGCATTAAGAAAAGTCAAACTCTAGAGATTTCACTCTGACTCAGGTGAACCCACAGTCCTGAAGGAGAAAATAGTGAGCTTGGAGAAAGGAGAAGACAGCAGATCCACAGGTCTCACAACAGGGACGCCTTAATTGGCCCCCAGATGACAATGTCTCATTAATGGACCATGTGAGAATTGGCTCATTTGCTAAAATGAGTACTTGGAAAAGTTTTCTGCTTTTGTGTCTGGAGAAAGACCCAGAGGGTAAGAGCAAGAGGTTGTGTTGTTACTAAACAATGAGACAATTAAAATCGTCCCTTGGGACATTGCTATGAATCTCCTAGCGAGTTTCACGCGTGTTTCCTCACCAGATCCTCACAGCAGGCCTAGATGGTAAATCTATGGTTCCCATTTCATAGACGTGGTGAATATGATGGCAGACACTTAGCCTTTGTCATAGCTAAGCCTAGGAGAGTTATTGATGCTGTTTTAAAGCATTTTGGTGATCTATGAGTTAAGCTCTGTGAGACTAACATAGACAGCTCTTTACTCTTTTAGACCCTTGAACACTAAACCCTCCAAATAAAGTGTTTCTCAAGCAAGTGGGATAATCTATGGGAGCCCGGAACCTTCATGTGCGGCCCTATCCATCACCCCAGGGTTCCCCTCCTGGCTGTAGGCCTTATCCATCACCCAAGCATCAACCCTCTTCTTTGTTGTCTGGAAATTTGAAAGATCTCCCTGCTATCAAGCAATAACTACCTGTCACAGGAGCAACCTACACATGTGCTCAGCATTCAGGGTCCTGTGATTAGAATTTCAAGGCTCTGAGGAGTGTGTGAGATAACATAGGGACACAGAGGTCTGACAAACAAGAGGATGTTCAGAAGAATGCTGATGATGTCAACAAAAAAGAGAAAACAGTATATAAGGATGGTGGTGATGATCACAGCAATTGTGATAACTACGAATATGACTTTTGTCAGTGTTTGCTCAAAACATTTATATTAAATGTAGTGCTACCCTTGATTTCAAGGTCAGGAAACTGAAGTGTAGAGTTTGTAACATATCAGCACCTACAGGCAAAACTTTGCATATTAAGGTGTTATACTTGGTGTGGGATGCTAAGTGTTTAACAAGCAACTCTCCATAAGAACAGGAACAAAGGAGGGTGAAGTCAGGCCTGCTCTAAGCCAGTTGGCAGCCATGATGTTAAGCCCATGCATAGTCTCCTTCTCTGACACCTGAGCCTGGCATTCATTGGTTCACTGCACAAGTTAATAGTTCGGTCCTTGTTGCAGTGATAAAATACCTAACACAAGACACTTGAGGAAGAGTTGATTTAGACTGAGAGACTGAGGGCATAGTCAGTAATGGCAGGGAAGTCATGGCAGTAGCAACAGACTCAGGGTCACATTGCATTCCCAGTCAGGAAACAGACAGATGGATGTCCTTCCTCTGACCACTCTGTCCTTTTACACTTTCTAGGACCCCAGATCCTGGAAAGGTGACAACCACATGGAGCACCCCATATCAGTTAAGCCTTTCTGGAAACACACTCACAATATCCATGGTGATTCTAAGTCCACAAGAGCTGACAGTGAAAACGACCATGATAAGGAGTGAGAGGATGACCAGGCAAAGGAGTTCACAGGGGTCTGCAGAGAATGCCCTCCCCTCCACTTAAGTCTTCAGATCATGTCCTCTTGAAGACATCCTTGATGAGGATTCAGGTGCGACAGAAATATCTTAACAGTCTTTCCCATTTCTAAGAAGGATACCCATGAATCTCTCCACACTCATTCTTGCCGATTTCACAGTTTCTGACTCTGCTTCTTCACAGAGGGATGGTTGCTGCATTGGTACATGAGGCTGGAGGGAGCAGAAGTAGGATAAAGGGTTCCCCTTGCTGTAGGTACTATGGAGACAGGCCGTGGGAGACAGACTTCAGGGAATCAGATCAGCTTTATTCCAGAATATTAGAAATATAAAGTATTGAGGAGCCTGGGGGTCAATCCCTGATTTCCATTAAATAGCAGGGTCCTATTATAAGCCGTTGTATGTTGTAGCAGGGTCCTATACCAGAGTTCCTCGTACAAGTCTTAGTTACCATATTGCACTTCTAGCAAGGATCTGTGCTAAGAATCATGCTAAAGATAAATCAGACATAAAGGTTTAGAGACAGCTTTCACATAAGATAGTCCTCCAGGACCAGGGACATTCTCCAGATAGGGGCAGGTAGAGAGCAAAAATCTCACTGGGGGTGAGGGAACACCCATGTATTTGAGCTTTGGGGGAAAAACGTCCCAAGCCATGATAGACTGTGACTTCCACACAGCAACAACAATTATATTTCATAGATGTTCACAGCCATCTAACCAACCCATGGGCCACAACACACACATGAATATAGATGCTTACCCAAACACCATTTCTCCTTCCAAACTAAAAACAACCAAATGTCCTACACAGTGTTCTTTTCACTGAACGATTTTCTCCTCACCATTGTCTTCAGGTACATCCCAGAAATAGACACAGGGCTCTGTTGTTCATTTTTAGGTTGGAAGAGTATGTCATACAAAACTATGTGTAATCAGCATGAGTATGATCCTTCTCCTCAATCCTCCATAGGGATCTGGCCATAGAGACCACAGGCTCAAGCTATAGAGGGGATGTGACAGCATTAGACCATTTGGACCACTGCCTCCTATAACCTACTTGTACCTTCAGGGACTCCAAGATATATTTGAAGTCTCACATTGGCATTTGATGTCAGTTTTGTGACCCATGTTAAAGATGCCCACTATATTATGGGCATTGATGAAAAAAGAAGGATAAAAGGGAACCAAAGCATTTTTATCCATTGAAATATATTTATAGATATGCATTTAAATATAAATATCTCTAAGATATACAGATAGATAGATGGATAGATAGATGGATAGATAGATAGATAGATAGATGACAGACAGACGAATACAAGGACTGAGTTCATGTGGTCATTTGAAGGCTTGTGGTCTTAAAATAAGACCACAAATAAAATAAATAAATTTATTAAATTTATTTATTATTTTAATAATAATATTAAATAAATTATTACATTAAATAAATGTAATAAATAAATACATTTAAATAAATAAAATTTATTTCAATTTTAATTAAAAAATTTTAATTAAATAAAAACAAAACAGATAAATAGATTCAATGTGCCTCTGTCATATCCTGGTAGTGATGAAATTCCCAAATGGATCCTAACATTCAATGCTACCTACAATTGATTCAGAAGAGTCATGTGGTGGTTTGAATAAGAATGGCCCCATAGGCTCATATATTTTAATGAGTTAGCAGACAGTGCTACACATTGAAAGGATGAGAAGTACTAGAATGTGTGACCTTTTTTGAGGAAGTATGTCACTAGATGTGGGATTTTAGGTTTCAAAAGCCCATACAAAAGGCACTTCCTCTGCCTGTAGATCAGGATGTAGCTTTTAGCTACTGCTCCAGTGCCATGAGTGTCACCATGCCCCTACCATGATGATAAATAATGAACTAAACCTCCAGAACTGTAAGCAGGCCCTGAGCAACATGATTGGTTGTAAGGAGGCCACTTGTCTGTTTTTGCTCAGCCCCAAAATAATCACACAAACCATATTATTTAAATCACCGTGTGGGCCATTAGCTCTATCTTCTTATTTGCTAACTCTTACATCTTAATTTAACCCATCTCCATTAATCTGTGCATCACCACGAGGTTATGGCCTACCAGCAAAGTTTTAGCATATCTGTCTCCTGCATCAGCTCCATGGCTTCTCTCCAACTCCATCTCCTTTCTCCCAGCATTCAGTTTAGTTTTCCCCCGCCTATCTACCCTATCAGGCCAAGCCAGTTTCTTTTTTAACCAATGATACTCACAGCCTACATCACCTCCCCCTTCTGTTCAAATAAAAAAGGGAGGTTTTAACTTTAACATAGTAAAATTACATATAACAAAACAGTTATCAAGCAAGAATTGCAGCTATTATATTTATATATACTTTATCTTTTGTCGTAACTCAAGAAAACTATAATAACTATTCTCCAACTCCATCAAAGACTTCAGAATGATATAATATTACCTAAGTAAACAGGAAGTGCATTATAAACAACTTCCAAAACTCTAGATTTGACAGAAACATCTTGCTGCCTGGATGGTCACCCACAGTTCTTCTGTATAGTTGGGGTACTATCTTCAGCCTACAGGCCCATAGTATCCAGTAGACTTTTCCATGAAGCAGGAAATTTCAAAGACAGTTCTACCTATATTGGCAGTTTGTCAGTCACTTTCTTCTGTGACCTGCAGAATGTCTGGCAGACTTTTTCATGAAGAAGGAACCCCGAAGAATCGTCTCACCTTTCAACAAGTTCAGTAGTCATTTCTCTGCAGGTCTTGTAAGTCCAGTTCATCAAGCAGTCCAGGCAAAAGTACTTTTTTGCCCAAATGTAAAGAACCTCTTCAATGCCCATCATCCTCTTGACATAGATTGGTGCTGTCAGGAGCATATGTGTCTCATTGTCATGCAAAGCCCTAAGTCCTTAAAGCTTTTTAAAAACCATTTTCTGAAGGTCTTTAAAAGGTTTGAAGAATGTCAATCCATCTGAAATACATATCTGTCCATCTAGAAAATATAACTAACAGGACTATAAGTTTGATTATTAGAGATGATTATCTATTAACCTATATTTCTAAATGAGCTGCACAAACACAATACCTTAATCAAGACCAAAAATAGATGTATAACAAAATTGACCTTAAATTTATATCAATAAACCAAGATCCATACCCATGGAAATCTCTATTGCATATCTCCCTTTAAATGTAAGACAATATTTGGAAATATTGGTGTAGTTCTCTCCAAATTGCTCCTTGTTGTTTATTGGGAAAAGTAATTTTTTGAGGAGTGTTCAAGGTGACCTTTCATAAAGGTCTTGGACAGAGATAGAAGGAATGTACCTAAAAATAATAAAGACAACATATAGCAAGCCAGCAGCCAACATCAAATTAAGTGGAAAGAAACACAAAGCAATCCCACTGAAATCAGAAACAAGACAAGGCTGTCCACTTTATCCACACCTATTAAATATAGTACTTGAAGGTCTAGCTATAGCAATAAGACAGCAAAAGGAGATCAAGGGGATACAAATTGGAAAAGAAGAAGTCAAATTTTTACTCATTGCTGATGATATGATAGTATACATAAGTGACCCAAAAAATTCTACCAAGGAACTCATACAACAAATAACCACTTTCAGTAATGTAGCAGGACACAAGGTTAACTCAAAAAAAATCAGTAGCCCTCCTATACACAGATGGTAAATGGGCTGAGAAACGAATCAGAGAAACATCACCTTTTACAATAGTGACAAATAACAAAATATCTTGGGGTAACTCTAACCAAACAAATGAAGGACCTGTATGACAAAAACTTTAAATCTTTAAAGAAAGAAATATAAGAAGACATCATAAAATGCAAATATCTACCATATACTGTTAGATAGATAGGACTAACATAGTAAAAATAGCAATCTTATCAAAAGAAATCTACATATTCAAGGCAATACCTGTCAAAATCCCAACACAGTTCTTCACAGACCTCAAAAGAACAATACTCAACTTCAGATGGAAAAACAAAAACAAACAAACAAAAAAAAACAAGAAAGTCAAAACAATCTTGTACAAAAAAAGGAACTTCTGGAGGTATCACCATCCCCGATTTTAAACTCTACTGTAGAACTATATTGGCATAAAAACAGGTGAGCAAGGGAATTCAATTCTATACCCAGATATCAATTCACACACCTACGAACACCTAATTTTTGACAAAAATTCTAAAATTATAAGATGAATAAAAGAAAGCATCTTCAACAAATGATGCTGGTATAACTGGATGTTCACACGTAGAAGAATGCAAATAGATCTATATCTATCCCCATGCACAAAATTCAAGTTCAAATGGATGAAATACCTCAACATAAAACCAACCACAGTGAACCTCATAGAAGAGAAAATTGGAGGTAGCCTTGAACACATTGATACAGGAGACAACTTCCTAAATATAAGTCCAGTAACACAGACATAGAGGGTAGCAATTAATAAATGGACCCCCAAAACTGAATAGTAAAGCAAAGGACATTGTCAAAAGGACATAATGGCAGCCTACAGAATGGGAAAAGATCATCACCAACCCCACATCTGACAGAAGACTGATTTTCAACACATACAAAGAACTCAAGAAACTAGACATCAAAGAACAAAAATCCAATAAAAATTGGAGTACAGACCTAAACAGAGAACTCTCAACAGAAGAATCTCAAATGGTTACAAGACACTTAAGGAAATGCTCATCATTCTTAGCCATTAGAGAAAAGCAAATCAAAACAACACTGTCAGAATGGGCAAGATCAACAACACTGATGACAGTTTATACTGGAGTGGATGTGGAGTAAGGGGAACACTTCTCCACTACTGGTGGGAGTGAAAACTTGTACAGCCACTTTGGAAATCAGTATGTCGGTTTTATAGAAAATTGGGAATCAATCTACCTTAAGACCCAGCAATACCACCTAGGCATATATGCAAAGGATGCTCAATCATACCAAAGGACATTTGTTCAGATATTCATAGCAGCATTATTCATAAGATCTAGAGCCTGGAAACAACCTAGATATCCCTCAACTGAAGAATGGATAAGAAACATCTGGTACATTTACACAACAGAGTACTATTCAGCGGTGAAAAATGATAACATCTTGAAATTTTCAGGCAAATGAATAGAACTAGATAAAACATACTGAGTGAGATAACCTAGACCAAGAATGGCCAATACTGTACATAATCATAATTGGATAATAAACATAAAGGATAACTAGCCTACACTCCACAACCCCAGAGAACCTAGATAGCAAAGAGGACCCTAAGAGAGACTTACATGGATCCACCTTGGAGGAGAAAAAGACAAGATTTCCTCAGTGAATGTGAGCATGGAGGAGGCAGTGGGGAAAATGGAAAGGAAGAAGGGATAAAAGAAACAGAAGAGGAAATAATTTATAGCTCAATAAAAATAATAAAAAAGAAAAAAAGAATTGTGTCTGTGGTCCAGCCTCCTGAAACTAAACAAGTCAATTTCTGATAAAGTCACAAACGAAGGACAATTCATTACCAATATCCCCAACAGTAAGAAAAAGAAGAATTGCAATACTAGGCCAGGGCCAATGCCCCTCCCGCTCAGATACGTCAAAGCAATAACCAGATAAGGGCAAAGCCTGGGATTTGTCCACACTTGCCCATGAATGGAAAGGCCTTAGCCCACTCATGCTAGCCCTATCCAATAAGAAATGTACAAATATGATTGTCACTTGCATAAAATAATCCTAGATCAAGTGCTTTTAGAATTCCTTTAGTTATGTATAAAAGAGCCTACAAGCTTTTCTTGGGGGTCACTGTAGGCAGAGGCTGCTTGTTCATTTCTTAGCCACCCATACCTGAAATAATCACTCAGAAACTTTCCCGGCCTGCAGATGCGAACTGGTGATCCCTGATAAACCTAGGGGAGAGGAATGAAGGGGCAAGAGACACGAGAAATGACAGCAAGACAGGATTTCTGATCAAGCCGTCCCCTTTATTATTTCCTCAGAAGCTGTTATATAGCAAACGGGCAGGGTGGGGGGAAGGGTATCAGAGGGGAGGGAAGGGTGTCAAGAAACTCAGGTCTGCTGGAATTCAGGTCCGGAGACATCCCCGGCCGATAAGTAAATACTGAGGGTCTGTAATTGTTGACTAACAAAGGAAAATGCTAACTGATTCCGGAGCCTAGTGTCTGCAGGTCTCTGCTAGGAGATAAGATGCCAGGTTGATTTCCTAGACCCTCCAGAGGCGATAGAGGTAAATATTTTTTCTTAACTTGTGAACTTAAGATGGCTATAAACAAAATGCAGGTCTCAAAATACAGATTTTTGCTTCTGGCAAGAAACTATATCAACTACAGTACTGCTTGGTCTATTAGCTTATGCTTATTTCTAGCTAACTCTTACATCTTAAATTAACCAATCTCTAATAATCTGCGCATCGCCACAAGATCATGGTCTACAGATAAGGTTTTGACATCTGTCTCCTGTGGCGACTACATGTCGCCTCTCTGACTCCACCTTCTTTTCTCCTCTATCTCTTCTACCTTCTGCTTTCTGCACTGCCATAGGCCCAAAGAAGCTTCTTTATTAAACAATGGTAATAAAACACATTTACAGCATACAGAGGGGAATACCACATCAGGTTCCATTCACCATTTTTGACTTTGTGCTGGATGCATGGTCCCATCATACTAGTACTTTCTAGAGATAGTAAACACTCTTGCTGATTGCAAACATGGTTGGTGGTCCTTTGTGGGACTTCTCCAGGACCCTAACAACACAAGCATGATAGCATGATAGTAGAGAGAGCAAAAGGCTGAGGCACCATATGCTAAGTATCACAGCAGTGTTGTCAGGACAGATGTAAGGTGATAGATGGTGGAACAGAACCAATAAGGTTCAGAGAACAAACTTCACAGATAAGTTCAATGTGGTCTGTGGGGAAACACAATGACCTCTCTGTTAAAAATGATGCAACGCTAAAAGTGTAAGCAGCTGGGGTCTCATTAGAACCTTACAAATTCTGTTCCCATTTCAGACAGCAGGCAATGGCACTTCCCATTGTTGACTGCTGATGGTTGACTTTCTTTCTACGCTTGGATGATGGTAGGTATGGATTGCCTCTCATCTTCAGAGAAGCTCTTACCTGACCAAGCAGAAAAGTCCTGTCTGATTCAGTGCCTGAACTATTCTTTTCTAAGGAGGCCTGAGGCTCCAGTTTTATTCTGTGGTCACATATTTTTGGATAGTGGGTACACTCCATTTATTCCTATTGTTTAATTATATATATTTTTAGAAGGGCCACAAGTTTCTCTTTCAATAGACAAGAATGGCTCCCTTTTTAGCAAGTAAACTTTCTTCAAACTCCTAAGGGAATGGGTACTCTTGTCTAAATGCCTGACCTTGAAAAATGACTTTCTCAGAGGACCAGGTACTCCATTATAGAATATTTCAGGATTTTTAAAGTATGGCTTAGTTTATCAAAATTGCTAAAGTTTAAAGTGAGCAAAGATGAACCTAGACAAATATTACGATGAACATGAATAGACCTTAGAAATTTATAAATCTTGATTATAAAAATGAATGAATGAAATTTATGCCCTGGCAATACTGAAGCATGCATGGGCAGTCCGTATATGGTGGTTCTGTGGAACCTGTCCATATTGGGTTTCATGGTCTAAGTCAACGAGGACCACTGACCAGTTCTCTTCCTCAAGAGGGCACCAGATCTCATTATAGATGGTTGTGACCCACCAAGTGATTGCTGGGAATTGAACTCAGGACCTTTGAAAGTGTTCTTAACTGCTGATATACCTTATTTACCAAGCATATGTTACTTATCTAAATTTTCTAGCAGTTTGTTGTAAATTTGTATGAGAGTAGGCAGAGTTATCAGGCTATATTGTTCCACAGTTGTACTGATTTATTCCAAAGAATTATTTTGTTTAAAGAGGCTATCATTTACTATATTTGCATCCTTCAAAACCTACACAAATTTTCTCAAAGGAAAAGGCATAAGGGAACTTGTGGGAGCCAAATTTACATGTTAAGTTCTAATTATTGTGCCTTAGAGATCCTTGAAACAAGCATGTCTCTAGTCTGCAAGCCTCTTATTCAAGGACAAATAGTTTCTGAAATGCTGAAGGCCATTGCTTATGGGCGATAACAAGTCACATTTTTACTCCCCAAACAATTAAACCAGGTGGTGGTGTTACATGCCTTTAATACCAGCACTAGCAATGCAGAGACAGAGGCAGAAACCAAGGCAGATCTCTGTGAATTTAAGGGCCAGTTGTCTAAAGAGCTAGTTCTAGGACAACCAGGATGATACAGAGAAACCCTACGTCAAAAAAAAAAAAACTAAACTAAAAAAACTAAACAATCAATTTGGACCACTTCCTCTTAAAACATTCTTGTGTTTTCAGGGACTGCTAGAGTTAACTGTGCTTGCATACTGGCATTCTATGGTATACTCCTCCATGTACCAGATCTGCAACCCTGTATGTTAAATAACACCTAGTTCATGATGGGCAATGAGGTTGTATAATGTTTTCTGGTTCCTGTCACAAGACTTTCTATTGTTAAGATACCAACACATACCAAACTGCCCTACAGATTCCATGCGCCTCTATCGTAGTCTCAGTTCCCACTTTTTTGAAATTACCAAATGGATCCTAAAGATCAATGGAAAAGTGTGAGGACCTTATAAGAGGCACAACAATCTTGAAACAAGAAGGTTGGAGGGCTACTGACTTCCAAAGTCAAAGCCTACCTCAAAGTCATAGGAACGAGAACAGAAAAACTTCAGCTTGGGATTGATATGGGAAGTAATAGAATGGGAACGAAATTCCAAACATGTAAAGATTCACATGAGAGAGTTATTGACAACCATGCTGAGCAGGCCAATTAAGATTTTAAATCCTTTTTATTGATAGAAAGACCAATGGTAGGCTTGAGCTTCCGAAGAAATCTGTTAGTGCCCAAATTCAGTGATATGTCTTTTAAGGCAAAACCCACAAATATACGTAAGAGTTATATGATGATCAGAGTAACTTGAAACGCTCACTCCTGGAAGAGCATAGTAGTTATTTTACACATGACTTGACAACTATTTTGGTTAATATGACAGGACCAGAGAGTCAAGGCCATAAAGATCTCAAATGTGTTGGCAAGAAGTATGTGATTGTTATAGGAGGTGGGTAGAGGTCTGAGAACTGTCTAAGCAAGTAAAAGAAGTCAGAACAGGATAGTGTTCCCTTAGTCATTCCAACATTAGCACTAAAATGTATTCTCAATAAATATTAATCAAGGACATAAATGTCATTCAATGAGAAAAGTACTGTTTTCCAAAGATAATGATGAGATAAGAGATATCTACACACAAAAGAATAAAATTGAACCCTTGCTACATGCCATACACAAAAACCAATACAAATTATTCAAACTACAAATGAATAATTTGAAAACTAGAAGATTATTAAAAATTGATCAAAATGTAAATGAATCTTTTAAAACCTAGGAGAAATTTTCATGATCTCATGTCGGGAATTTTTTCTTGGATATATTACAAGAAAATGAGATAAAAATAAATGAGTTGTATTTTACCAAAATAGAAATGTTTATGATGCAAAGGACATGATCAGAAACTGAAACTTCAGCCAAGCATGTCACAAGCCTATAATCACAATACTTGGGAGGTGGGGACAAGATGATCAGAAATTCAAGAGCATCTTTAGGTACATTAAAAATTCTAAGACAACATGGGATATATAAAACTTTCTCTTATAATAAACTGCCAAATAAACAATAATAATAAATCCTAACTGATGAATGGATTGTATCCAGTGTCCCTCAAAGAATAGCTAAGAAAATCAGACAGGCATTATTCGGGAGGAAGTGGGCAAGACATTATTAGGAAGAATATGGTTGAGATCCTGAGTCACAGAGGAATTTTCCAATTGGCTACTCTGTAGCTGATAGGAAAAGATACCTAGCCCTAAAGTGTAGGAAATGAGCCGGCAGTCATCAGGCAAGTGGTGTTGCCTCTTGCAGCAGGAGTTGGGAGGGTTGCAATGAAATACAGAACCCCTAATTCCTAATTTTGTGCCATGTGCCACACAATTCAGAGTTCATCATGTTTACCCACATATCACATTGAATTTATATATGAAGTTTGGTCTCTGGCCTGTACCAATTTTATTCTACACACTATTGCTTTAATTTTAATAATGACAGCCTGTGCTGTACTACTTAGACTATAGCACATCAGCCTCTACTGTTTCCAGTATAATGTCATTAACAGCATGTTTCCTGATGGTTTACAGGCATACTATTGACATCTGTGAGAATACATCAAGCTACACACCTCCTGTTAGTCACTTGCTTCTCTGTACTGGAACTTTAGATACCAGATTATTGTCAAATGACATAAGTTTCTTCTCTGTAGAAGTAAAATATTTCTATCCTTTTGCTGTCAGGCTAGGCCATGATGCTTTCATTGGCAAAAGAGTGCGTGCAAAGAGATGCATCACTACTGGAAAGATGAGTTATCATGAGGCTTATCCACTCTTCTTCTCCTTCTGTTATAGAATGTATTGAATACAGGAATTCTCCTTCAGGATGTATCTGAGAGTAGCTACACACTCCCAATCTACAACAAATGTGAGCAATAAGTAAGCCTTTGTACTTATAACCACAAAGATTACTGAGATATTTTCATCTGAACTGTAGTGTAATCTATTCATTAAGACTGCCATCTGTGTTTCAAGAACATTTATTTCAAGTTATGTTGAATCAAATGCTCAATATTGTTTACAAACCACAAAGACACTATCTCTGTCTTAAACATTGAGCATTTATCCAACGTTCACCTAAGATTTCATCATCCTGACTCAAGAGTCCATTTACCATATCCATCATCTTGAGAAATGCTCTCTTGAGTTCTTTGTTCCTCAGACTATAGACCATGGGGTTGAGCAAGGCTGAGAAGGCATTGTAAAAGAGTGAGATCTGCTTGTCATGCTCAGGAGAGGAGCTTGAGTTGGGCCTCATGTAGATGTAAGTGGCTGGAATGTAGAAGAGTGTGACCACAGTCAAGTGGGAAGCACAGGTAGAGAAAGCCTTGAAGCGGCCCTGGGTGGACTTGATCTTGAGAATAGCCATGGCAATACGAATATAAGAGGCCACAATGAGGGAGACTGGGGCAACAATAATGAAGACACTCATAACTAAATCCATTATTTCAATGAGATGAGTGTCCATGCATGCCAACCTACGTACTGAGGGTCCTTCACAGAAGTAATGGTTGACCTTGTTAGGGCCACAGTATGGCAGCCTCATGGTGAAGAAGGTGTGTATCAGAGAGAAGAAGAAACCACAGACCCAGGCACCGGCTGCCAACCAGAAGCACAAGTCCCAGGTGAGGATGACACTATAACTCAATGGGTAGCAAATTGCCACATACCGGTCATAAGCCATGACCACAAAGAGGACACACTCTGTGAGTGCCAGTGCACCAAACATATACATCTGAAGCCAACATCCAGCAAAGGAGATGGTCTGAGAATTAGCAAGTAGATGCACCAACATCTGGGGCATGGTGGTAGTAACATCGCCCATATCCAACAGGGCAAGAATACAGAGGAAGAAATACATGGGAGTGTGGAGATGTGTGTCCAGGCAGATCAACAAGATGATGAGTACGTTTCCCAGGACTGAGCACAGGTAGATGAGAAGGAACACAATGAAGAGGGTGCTGTTGGTCATGGGGTCACTGGAGAAGCCAAGCAGGATAAACTCAGAAACCCAACTTTGATTCTGTCCTGGAATCATCCAAATCACTGGGTCTGTAAGAAAATCACATTCAACTATATGTCACCTAATACATGGTAACCCAGCAAGATGGCCTCTACAGAGGTAGGAAGCCTGGAGTATTTATTCCAAGTATACTGCTCAGTTTCTGTGCACTCTTCCCAAGTTACCCAACTTATATGACCTCTTGATGCCTCAATCTCTTCATTTATAAAATGAGGCTGATAAGACTCATGTCTGGCATTATTGTAAACATCTAAAGTGACTCACAAAGCTCCTAGAAACACTGTGTAACATGCTATATGAATACTCACTCTCTCATACCAGGAATCCCCATAGCAAGAAGCTAGCTGTACCAACTGAAATGGTGAAGACTGGTTTCAACTGAGAGACTCTGTGTCATTGAATAAGATGGAAGGAAACTGGGGAAGAATCCCATATTAGTCTCTGCCCCCCCCTACAAACACAGACATGTTTGCACACAGATATATACAAAAGAGAGATAGTAAACAAATAAATGAAGGTAACAGAACACAGGAGACACAGACCCACACACACGTTGCCTTGTGATTGATGACTATACTACATTGTACATGGGACTTGATAGCCTTTTCAAAAAATGCAGATGAGTTGTTACTCATGTAATAAATCTCTGTCATTTTACCTTTGGCTGCTGCACCCACACAAAACCAATTCAAGGTGTACCATAGATTTAACTGCTAAGTATAAAACAACCAAAGTCTAAAATCAAACCAAATACGTGTTTTTCTCCTTTTGGGGGATTAAGAGAAAAATTTCTTTTTTATTTTTATTGCTTTATAAATAATACCATTCAACATTTTCACTTCCTACCATCCTCTCCCTCCTTCACTCCCCCTACCTACTCCAGTCCTAAGAGAGGGCAGGGTACCCTGCCCTGTGGGAAGTCCAATGTCCTCCTTCCTCCATCCAGAAGCCAATGACAATGGCACAGAGAAAACTTTCTTTAAAAAAATGATATGGAAAAGTACTTAACATAGAGAGAAGAATGGCATACCAGAAAGAATTTTAAAAATGTACTCAAAGGATTTATGCCAAGATTTAGAAAATTAAAGTCTGTACATAAACATAAAAGCAGCCCCCTCAACAGAATAAAGGAAGAGAAAGTTAGAACATTTCACAAAGGAGTCTAAGTGAGCACTGATTAAGCATAAAAGTGCCTAGCACTAAAACTGACAATGTAAATGCCCACCCGTACTAACCTGATCTCCAAAGCTCCTATCACCTCATATTGGTGGAGAATATTTGATCACACTGTGAACCCAAGTTTGTAGTTGAATTAATTAAATGAATAAATAAAATTAACCCTGGGTCAAGACACTGAATTAGCAATTATTTGACAGAAAGTAATCATAGAGCATCAGAGGGCATCTGGAAGAGACAGAGAGTTGTACCAGAAGTAGTAGAGAGGGATTTGGAGTGGTGAAGGATTTTTTTGTGAGGCAGAGCAGAAGGATGCTCTCTTTTAGAGATGCCAGCAAGGAGAGAAGTTAGTTAGGCACTATTCAACCCCTCTGAGATATCAGGCTTCCACCCCAGTCTTTGTATCTTGAGTCTTATTTATAAAAATAACCATAGAGATTTAAAGCTAACATTAGTGGCAACAGCAGGGCCAGTGACTGCCTGGCACAGACTTCCTACCAGGCTGTGGCCTAAGTGTCCAGACCCCGGTCAGAGAAACAGGCAAGTAACTGTGGAGTCACAATTGCTAGCTGAAAGAGCAGTAGATTAAGACACAGTCACTGTTTGCTAGAGATAAAACAATGTTTGATGCCTAATGTAGTTCACAATCACGTGGACATAGAAGTCACAGTTGCTGCCTGGGACTCTCTGCAGGAGCATTCACAGCAGTTGGCATCCCCTTGCCAGGACTCCAGAAAGCAGGCTTCCACTTGGAAATTACAGTAGGGGCTTGAGTTCACCACAAACACAATGGACAAACTAAGAAGTCAGCAGATTTGGTGAGATACTTGGGAAGCCCTTTAGGAGAGGCAACATCACAATGCAGGGTGCTAGGGCCACAATTCATAGTGCTATCATGTATGGTTTGAAAATAAAAAAAAAATGATGGCATGAATGACTTACCTGTGATTGTCTTAATGTTGATTATAGTTACTATCAGTTTGGTAATATTTTATCCTTTTAAAGTGGTTTGATAACTGTAACAAATAAAATTTTACTGATAAGATACAGATCTTAGAATGACTCGCCTTTGAAAAGATACAAGCTTTAGAAAGACCTACTAATGAAAATGAGAAAAATACTCAGACACAGACAGAGGAATTTAGATAAGAACCTAATGCCCCATTGCACTGGGAAACTGAAGAGGAGCAGTCTCCGGTTATTACACATAAATAGAATGAACAATTAAAACCCTATGTGAAAAGATTTCTGGACTGATTCTAAAAAGGAAATCGAGACTTTGTCATTTAGCAGGAAGAGATCCAGCAAAAATGGTGGTACCTTCTACCAATGCTGAAATTGCCTCATAAAGAGCAAGTGAACATTGGCAAAGAGCTTGTAGTAATTTCTTAGGCGAGATTTGCAACAAATATTCCCAAAGCAATAGACTTCAGTTTATAGAAAGAGCGAATTGGATTCCCTCTCATGTAATAAAAGGAACACCAATTTCTGGAGTCCCTACATTTTTTATACTGATGCAAATAAACCAGGAAAGGTAGGTTATGAGTCAGTAAAATTAAGAAGAGTGGCTCAAAGCCCTTATGAATCATTCAGAAATCAGAATTATATGCTATTCTCATGATATTTTAGATTTTTCAGAACCTCTTAATGTAGTTCCTGACTCTCAATATGCAGAAAGAGTTGTTTTAATTATTGAAACTGCTAAACTTATTCCAGATGATTCAGAATTAACTTTTCTATTTATTAAACTATAGCAAGTAATCAGAAATAGAAATCATCCCTTGTCTAAAATACTCATCATATCTCTCATACAGGTTGACTAGGCTCTCTAGAACAAAGTAATGATGAAATTGACCAACTATTAGTAGGAAATGTGTTAAGAGCCTCAGGATTTTAAAATGTTAACAACAAACATTTGAAGATAAATTTTTATATCATTTGGCAACAAGCTAAATAAATTATAAAGAAATGTCCTACTTGGTTTTTTGTATAACTAAGCTCCATTTTGAAGAGTTCAAAACTGCTGAATTAAATCAGCCTATATACTTTAAGGATGTGTTGACCTCAGAATGGAACCCAGGATATGTGATATGTTGAGAAAAATGATTTGCTTTACTTCCAAAGAGAATAAAAGCAATGAATACCATCAGGAATGATAAAGATTAGATGCAAACAGGAAAAACCTCTGAATTAAGAAAGGCAATATTTCATCAAACAGTTTGATCATTCAATCCAAACTAACTTATAAGACTAACAAATACCTTTCATTTGATCAGGTAAGAAAAAATAATTTTATTACTATTAAAAGATAATACTTTTTCTATTACCAAAAAACCATTTTGTGTTAACAAAGATATACCATGACAAAAAGAAACTCCTCAAAGTTAGGGTTGGAGCATGGTTTGGATTTTGTTGTTGTTGTTGTTATTTTGTTTTGTTTTGTTTTTGTCTTTCCAGGAGAATAAAAGCATTCAACTAAGATCTGAAGACCACCAAACAAATAAAAGGCATCTGAAGAAGAAAGAAGAATCATGCAGAGAAAATGGCCCAAGAAAGAGTAAAATTGGCCTAATGGTATAGCACATTTCTAATAGGATAAAATTTCATTAATTTTCCCAACTATTTGTTTCTGCTGCTCTCTACAAACATAAAAGAAAAAAAGATTTTTTTTGTGGTCCTAATTCAATTAAAAATCAAAGTTGGCCTTAGACTTCATCTACTTCTTGTATGTGATTTTGGGTTTGAGTCTGAAACACGTAACTAAGAATTAAGTTTGTATACCCAGATATACTTGATAGACTATGTTCCTTTAACCTCTCCAAGATCTGTTGCATTATGGCATTTAAAAGATTTAAGTTTACTGCAGTGAACTGTGACCATTCCTAAAAACAACCTTTGAAATCTCCAAAAGAATGATGGAGGTCCACAGTAACTCCTCTGGATTGTGGTAATGCCATTAAGATGACAAACACCACCCAAGGTTTGGTTTTGAACTACAAACTGCACAGGACAATTTCAGTGTGATTAGCTGAGATGGTCCAGCTTCACAGACTTCTCCAAGCCAGGACTTGATATTCCCTGCATATTCTCACTACACACAGACTGAATAATCAGTGTTATAGCTAGTGTTCTCAGTACTTGAATATTATTATAATATTTTCAGAGGGCTGTAAAGATGCCATCACCTCCAAACAATAAATGGAAAGTTATTTTAAGAATATGACACCCACATTCACAAGAGGTATGGTTGTTGGATTTTGGTACAAATTTAAGGTTATTTTTGTTAGAACATACTCTATAAGTGTTTCTATTCTTGTTTAATATAATTTTGCATATTGATACAAATATAAGATTGTTTTTGTTCTACTGTATATATGCTTCTACTCTTGTTTAAAGTATTATATCTATGCAGTCCATCTAAAAAATAATGTGTCATTAAGAAATACAAGTTAATATTTAGTCATCTATAATAATAAAACTTGTAGTTATGTTAGATATGTTTCTAAGGTTAAACAGAAATGTATTTTAGATATAAAGTTGGTCTTCAAACACTTCAGATACTTACAGAATACGGCAGTTAAGGTGTTTTAATCTAAGACATTTTATAATAATGACACATATCTGCTCCTGGCAGTACTATTTTACTTCAAACAAGGATGACGGATATTGAAGAACCTCCATGTTGAATTTGCTTTTGTTGTGGCAAAGTTATCCAGTAGGCAAGAAATTGGCCTTGCTTTGACTGCTGACAATATGTGGTCCAAATTGGATGAAAAGGAGCCAAAAGAAGGTGATTGCCGATATTTGCCAAGACAAAATAGGATTGACAATCCATCAAA